CCTGACTTTAACCAGAGTCATGAAGAAATTTGCTTCTCAGTAACAGAAGAACAAAGTTTATGTACTAAAAATAAAACACTACATGACATTGTAATGCTGTTTTATTATTGTCACATGTTTAATAAATATACTGGCGTGATACAACTTAGTACATGTTTGATTCCTTTTTGGGATACTTCAATTTTGGAGTTGTAGCCCCACCTGGAGAAAATTCCACCAGACGCCACTGGATATAAGAGACTTACGGTGTTGTTTTCTCCTTCATTCTTGTTTGTTGTTCTCCAAAATCTGCCTGCAGCAGTCAGTAGGCTGCCACATTAATATGACGTTGAGTCGTCGACAGGGTGGACCCCATAGAAATGAAAATGAGAGGTCAGCTGCTGAGTGGTGACGAGCTGCGCCACAGGCCACGCTATTATTTTGCATTGAGGACTTACTGCGCATGTCCAAAATCTTCCAATGACTTGTCTATGGGAGTCTGGGGCAGCGAACCGCCCGTGACCTGGAAGTGACTCAACACGAAAAAGCTCATGAGTAAAATGAAAGTTTACACATCAATAACTCTAAATTATTTATTCTACTTATCACAAAACATATATACGATACTTTTTCGAAACATTTATAACGTTTTATTTAGTTATTTTTTTTATTTTTTGTGTACAAAAAAACTAGTGGTGGGGTGGCACCCTAGCGACCCCATTGACCAGCCGCCACTGGAAGCATCACATAAAGCTTTTCACAATGTGATGATCACAGAAACATCTACAGTTAGACAAAATGTAGTATTTTAGATCACTAGACGTCTTTTTCTCTGCAGTCTGGACAGCTCATCCCTCCATGACACCACCAACTGTTTCTGCACAATCACAAGAATGTATTAACATACTGTGTATGATAACGCTGTGTGAAAACAAGAAGCTGCTCTTCTCTCTTGCCCGCTGTATGCACCCGTCTGCGACTGTGCGTGATCATCAGTGTGTGTTTTTTTCCTTTGGTGCCCGCTGTGTGCACTCCGATTTCGAGCTCAGAGGGAACCGCTGGCTTTGATGTTCTCTGATGCAGGCAAATGCTGGTACCCTTATTAGCTTGCAAGGAGCTGATGCAAGCTACACTAGTGCAAGGCTCCCAAAACCACTTCATTTCAATGCAAAGTASAGCAACACAGAAAAAGCTGAATTCAAGTGCAGTAAGTCAGCACAAAAAGACAAAACTACACACTTTATTTAGGAAGAAAAGGCTATGGAATTAAAATGGTGGTAATGATGATGAAGTGGCTTCCCATGACACAGCTGAGGACGGTGCTGAATCAGAAAAAGGTGGGCTGAAGATTGTAGGCGACAAGACAAGGAGCCGAGTCACAGGAAAAAGAGGATTTAAAAAGTTAGAAGATGAGAATGAGCTAAAAAGAAAGAAGAAAGATCATTTTTAAAGGAATTACCATTTTTGTTCACTAATTAGACTGAATTGCTCAAACTCTTGTGAATTTTCTACTTCTGTGCATAAAAAATAGACCAAACAATGTCAATT